GCTCTGAAATTATACTAAAACAATTATTCGCGTCAGGTTCGGTGAATATTGTCGAATAATCCCCTCGACTTCGTCTCGGGGATTATTCGACGATATTCACCTCACCGTCGGCGAATAATTGTTAAATGGAAAATTATAACTCTGCAACTAGCTCGATCATTTCGGAAACATTGCAGCTCTTTTTTTTTTTTCAGGATTGAACCGTAGCTGCTCAACAGAGGGATTCGCTTACGATGAATGTAATCGGCGCTGCTTTTGTAAAAAAGGATCATTTACCAATTGCTACAGAATACGAAAGGACTTCATGGAAATGCCCCTCGAAGAGCGGCGCCGCTACGTGGGGACCCTTAAAGTAGTCTCCACTAAGGAACCTTATAAAAAGACCTATGATCTAATTACTAGACTTCATCCTAAATTTTTCGATGTCATTCACGAGAGGCCATTTTTCTTTCCTTGGCATCGCTGGTACCTTTTCATCTTTGAGAACCTTCTGCGTCACGTCGATTGTCGCGTGACAGTGCCATATTGGAACTGGGCACGAGCTGTGTCGCGCAATCGCCTATGGCGTGCCACGGACATACGGGATATCTGGAATCCAGGAACTCACGGCCTTGGCGGTGACGGTGAGGGTGGATCTCGAAACAGTTGTGTCCGAAATGGACCTTTCCAGGCTGGAAAATGGTCACTACCGGAGTGGCTATTTTCTGAAAGTCTGTCAAGAAGATTCGACCACAGATATTATTTACCGAGGGAGGAGTACGTTAAGGACCTAAACAAACTCCCATGGAGCAAATTACGCAAATTTGAATCTGGTGTCCGAAGGTACATGCACAATGATCTACACAACGCAGTTGGCGGAACAATGTCGGAGGATGAATCTGCAAGCGCGCCGGAGTTCTGGTCTCACCACGCTTTCCTTGACAAGATCTGGTCTGACTGGCAAGATCATGGCTCGAAATACAAATTCGCGTATTAAAAAAGGATAAATGTACTTTTACCGGGTGGGAATCACTTCGGGTGGCAATTTATGGACCTACAAAATCAGCCCCATTGTGTAAGGATCCTGTATGAGGAGCCTAAGAACGAGAAAGTGCCCGATGGTGCAGATGATAATGGTGTCAGATATGATAATGACGTTGATGGCGACGAAGATTAGGATGACGATGGTATTGATAATGATGACGATGACAATAATGGCAACTATGGCGATTGGAAAGAGTTTTTTAAATGAGTACAGATAACCATGATATTTGTTTGTAAAAAATCTTGCACCAGTAAATAGACCCCATTGTAATAACATTCGACCAAATGCCCTCCTTCCCCCCAAAAGGGGGAGGGGGGGCATCAAAAAGGCAAAATAAAAAGAGAGTGAATGAATTTTTTTAACTTGCATGTCAGTTTTAAGACTGCGATGAATTTTCCAGGTATTTAACTTGATAAATGGCGTCGGTTTAAAAAAATACAAACAAAACAATCAGATAAAATATTACAGAAAACGCACGAAAAAACAAAACAAAACAAAGCAAAACAAAAAACAAAAAACAACAACAAGCAGAACACTTTTTGAAAACAAAAATCTAAGTGATCTCAAAAGAAGATCTGAAGAAAATGCCAAAAGAAGGGTGGGCGAAATAAGAAAAAAAAAATTTAAGTGGCCTTCAGCAGCATGCATTTGGAGTAAACAAGTCACAATTGCTGTTTTGTGCCTCATTAGTTGACAAAGCTCGTGAACACGGGTTAAAATCTTGTGCTCAGGTCCTGCAACTTTCACTGAACAACTTGGACGTGGAAGGACTTGTTACGATATTACGCGGGGTATTGCCTGGGAAGGGGTGGGGAAGGGAATGAAATTAATTCGATAGAAGCGAATTTAAACCACGGTGACTATACTGAAACATACTTCTGAGTTATTTCTACGATAGGACCGAAAAAAAAAATTCATTCCTCTGTGATAATTGAGAGGTCACCCGTAAAGAGCGTTTCTAGTTGCCGTTTCCAGATATTAAAAATATTTGTTTGATTTCAGTTTCTTGAGAAAAAATGATATTGTTGTAATTTGGCATCTTAAGGGTACATTCCATACAATAAAAAGGATGAAGGCTATTCGTCCAGCGTTTTGTATGTGTAATTATCTTCCAATTAGGTACTTTTGTTAGACATCAACAGTTTAAGCTTTGTTAGAGCAAATTCGACGGTCATTGGCTGACTAGAAATACCAGGGCTCTTCTTTACCTGTATTTTGATGAACTAATGCTAGCAAAGGATTCCTTCGCTGTCTACAACAATATTGTTTTGTGTTAAATGTAAAAGTAGTACTGCATAAGGTAAACAATTACGCAAAAACAGCAAAACAAAAACAAAAAAAAACACAAAAGGTGCAAAAGAAATTCTAACACTGGGAAACAATACCTGAAGTACAGCAAACCCGAATACACGCAGAAAAGTTAATTGTGAGAAACTTTGTGCTCTCTCGATAGCACGAAAAAGACGCTTGCTTTTCTTTGTTGTCACACAAAAAATATCGAAGGTATTTGGCCCCAGTACTAGTATTTGAGATTTACATAAAGTGTCGGAGTAACTCTGCAAGGCTGTTATTTGTAGTCGAGAAGGGGCGTAGTCAAGCGAGTTTTGAGCAGCAATTTTTACAAGATTTTCAGCATGGAACGTTACAGCAAAATCAAACAAATTGGTTCGGGAACATTTGGTCAAGCATGGTTGGTGGAATCCACCGTGAGCCAAAGGAAGTATGCACTGAAGGAATTGGGCGTCTCCGAAATGTCGGAGCATGATCGTCATCTTGCATTGAACGAAGCGAAGATTTTGTCCAAGCTTAAGCATAAGAATATTGTGCGTTACAAGGAAGCATTCGTAGCTCTAGGAAAATTGTGTATCGCAATGGAATTTGCGGAAAAAGGTACGTGGGAAAAATTTAGCGTATATTTTGCGTTTTTAATGTTGCAGTTCAGCTGTTAAAGCAATTTAATTATCTTGCATTTCAGGAGATCTCTACACTAGAATCAGAGATAGGAATGGAATGCATTTCCCGGAAACAGTAGGTCTTACGAACATAAACAATTGAAAGAAAACTGCCACTATTGAAATTACCCTACAACTTAGATTTGAATTACGGATGAAGGCTTTCTTAGAGTTAATTAAAGAAATTAGATGTACTCCGAAGATAAAAATGCATCAAGGCACGCAATAAAATCAGATAAACAAAGACGGTAATCATTCATGAGTTTAGGAAAATTAATTTTGCTTTGGTTGAGACAGTTTTCCTTTCATTAAACATCTGGGCAAGATTTCTGCCCAGCCACGCACTCTATTAGCATACAGCTAACGGAGAGAGAAAACATTGGCGAAAACAACAGATTACCTCGGTGACAGAGGCGTCGTTCATTTAGAATGATATGGGATTATACAGAAATCTCTCCAATATTTGAATGTTTCAATCACTAAGACTAATTATTCTAAAAATCTGCAATAGATATTTGAGTCTTATTAGAAAATCCTTTAGTGTGAGATCGAGCTAGCATATTGTGTTGCTACCGACAACAACGTTATTTCGAGGGATTTGAAAATCCTATATATCTTGGAATTAGAATAATTTTTGTCTCTATTCTTGTGTCTGCAGCAAATTCTTGAATGGTTTACACAGCTTTGCTTCGCCCTCAAGTATATTCATGGACAAAATATTCTCCACAGAGGTATGCACGTTAAGTTAGCCCAAAATGTTTTATATTTCCTCTCCAAATCTCTACGCGACATTGATTTGTTAGATATTCTATAACTCAAAATTTACGTCTCAGATCTTAAGACACAAAATATCTTCCTTGGTAAAGATGACGTCATTAAGCTAGGAGATTTCGGCATTGCCCGGATGTTGAACAGTACTCTGGATCATGCGCAGACCACAGTGGGGACACCGTATTATCTGTCACCAGAGATCTGTCAAAAGAAACCGTATCCTTCGTTCAGACTTAAAAGACTTAAAGTAGAAATCAAAGTTACATGACTCGTAATAACTGTTTAATTAGACAATAGAACAGCTTCCGGGCTCTATAACGCGATAAATCACGAGCCGGATGGCGACTGATCTATAAGCTTTCCGAGTGATCTTGCAACATCCCAAGTGGCTTCGTCACGTTTTAGAGCGCGGAAAAATGCGTTCTATTGCTTTTACGACATAACTAGTTACACGAGGGCTCTATAACCTGATAAAGCATCCGCTTGGAAACTGTATTGACCAATCAGACGATGCGTCTTATGTTCATTATCTTATAATTGATAATAAAACTTGTGTTTATATTTTGGCTCAAAAATATTTAANGCTGAGCAAAGAGTTTCCAGCAATCTGATTGTTCGAGCGGTTCCTTTTATGAGGCTATCTAAACCGCTCCACGCGATTTTCATAAAATGTTCAAATAAAATGTTACTAAATGTTACTAAAATATTATGATTTTAGAAATTTCTCTGTTGTTCAGCTCTGAAATTATACCCCGCTAAAACAATCATTCGCCTCGGGTTCGGTGAATATTGTCAAATAATCCCCTCGACTTCGTCTCGGGGATTATTCGACGATATTCACCTCGCCTTCGGCGAATAATTGTTAAATATAAGGTGTTGATAGAAAGACAAACTGACCATAAGGTATGTGAGGGTCTCAATAGGGTTAGCCGTTAGTCGTAAAACGCCTAAGTTTTATCTGTTAGCCATGTAAAGTGACAGAACTAAATCAAGACTCTATAGTATCATTTGCTGACTTATTAATATGATCGTTATCTGCATAACACGATACGGGTGACCTTTTTTTATAGTATTTCCTTGTTTATAGGTCAATAATCTCGGTGAAATCTGGTTTCACTCGACTCTTCAAAGTATACGGAGTAGAAGTAGCTGATTTCCTTTTCATATGCAAATTACGATAAACGTATTAATTTGACGGATGGATCGTCAAGTATTTATCATTAGGGCCCAGTTGTTTAAAGTGCAGATAATACTATCCAACGGAAAAATCGCTACCCAGCGGATAAGTGTTGGCAAAACGTGCTGCGCACGTGGATAGTGTTATACAACCTTCGAACAGTCGCGGCCAATTAGGAAATTCTTTCTTTTTTTACGGAAGAGATACGAGTTTACAGACAGAGATGATTCTCTTGCAGACACTATGGGCCACTTTTAGAGGACTTGGTTTCTGTTCTTCTTCAAAAGAACCCCGACGACAGGCCCTCTGCGAAGCAATTGCTTTATGTCCCCGCCATGCAGCCGTACGTGAAGAAGTTCCTTCAGTGTGAGAGGGACAGAATGAATAGCGTTGCCTCGGACATCACCGAAATTACCTCAAGATCAACGCACGAATGTTCTCAGATTTTAAGCCCAGGAAAAACAGAGAAAAAATGTCTTAAAGTGAATGTGGCTGAGGAATCTTATTCATTACATCAAGGCGAAGAAATTCAAATGAAGCAAAGTCAGGTATTAAAACAACCTCAACAGATCTCTTCTAGGAAACAAGGACTTTCCTCTGCTAGGACACTTAGACCGCGAGAAAATGAGCCGGCCAGAGTCGACGCACCAAAGAAGCAGGAACTTCCAGATACAAATAACGCGTCCAAAATGCATCAGCCTCCAAGCGTCAACGGCAACACACCAAACGCGCGGGAAAATGTCGTTACCAGACTCCCTGTTGACGCAAGGAAGTACAACCTGATTAGACTAGCGCATGCACTACAACGACGGCACTCCGAACATATTTTTACACCTTCAGAGCCCAGGAACAAAATTTCCAAGGTTCGGATTCATTCCAGTGGAGCATTATTTGTAAACCATTCTGCTCCAGAAGACGATGTCTTTTCTGTTAGTGAATCAACAACAGTTGCTGACCGAAAACCAGACCGATGCATTGGCACGAAACCGCGGGATGTCAAAGAAAGAGGATCGAGTAAGGCAGTTAATTGTAGAAGCAGGGTTAATTCTATTACTCAAAAGAGGAAAACTGAGCCCGTAATGGAAATGGACCAGTCGAAAAGCGATGAGGACATGTGCAGAAAAAGGAGAAATCAGTCCGCTGTAACTACTCATGATAGAAACCGCAGGCCGTTCATGCAAAGGCATCGCAGACTCACGACTAATCTCGAAACTAACGAGGAAGATAAAGAAAACGTAAGTCGAAACAATTTTGCAGTTTGTTAAAAATTCATTTTAAAAATGTAGTTGTAAAGCTTAGTTGCTGACACGCAGCAATGATGAAAATTTGATGCCCAAAATTTACCGGCATAAGTTCGTTAGTCAACTCGGTCAAGACATTTATCTTATTAACCAAGCGCGAGGGCCGGCTGTGAGAATGTCGGCCCGAGGTCTAGACAGTACGGACCGAGCGCAGCGAGGTCCGTACAAAAGAGACAGAGGGCCGATATTCTTCCAGTATGGTCCCGAGCAAGCTTGGTTAATAAGAGATTTATTATACGACTGAAGTTCAAAGGGGCACAAGTGCGGTATCATTCGGGACCATTCGGGACAGTGCCCGGTCCAATACTTAGAGAATATTGACCGGTAATAGAGCATTTTGATTGGTTGATTTTAGTTATTGGCCCTCTGACTGCCCGAGTCGTGTAATAAAGGGGAATTAGTTTGAATTATGAAAAATAATTATCTGGTTTTTATCGAGTTCTTCACAAATGCCCGCCGGTCGGTGGGTGCGTTAAGTCGATCACGAACATCAGTCTCTAGCCTTACCTAGCCCTCTGACCCCTTATATTGATTAGCAGTTAAATTCTCCTTGGAATATCACCCCTGAATCACACATCAAGGTCACGAGAATAAGGGAAATAATCATTGACCAAAGAAGCTCTTGACTGTTAAACAAATTCTCCTTTTCAGCACCTTCGTAACTGTATAAAAAACGGGATGGAGAATATGCATACTAATGTAGGGTGTAACGTGTTAATGTTAAAAATTTCCTTTTCTTTATTTTCTTTGTAGAGAAGCTCAATGTTTTCGAATGCTCAAGTTAAAGCAAAGCGTTGTGCCTCATCCGGGGCCTTGAGACAAATTCAGTCCAGGAATATCGAAAGTCTACCCATGAGCAAGGAAGCAAAAGAAATATTTGGACAGAAAAACGAATCAAGTAAAAGTACGTACACAGTGTGCAAAGAAAGGAAACCTTCTGTGTTTGAAATCCCGGATATCGATGAGCGTCTGTTCTGTTATAGTGCAAACACAAAGGAAAAGGACTTCAGTAATCAGGACAACGATGGAAACGAGGGCACAATTTTAAAATCTGAAAGACGCTTGAGTTCAGTTACAAACGAGCAAACTGACTTGAACGATCGAAACTTTGAAACTGTGGTTCAAACGGTGCCTGAGGCAGTGACCAATAAAACTGAAAGAGATGATTCATTCTCGACGTCACAATGGAAGTTCAAGCATGGCGGCAAAACATTACATCTCGACAGCGTTTCCTCCAATGATTCGATTTATTCTCATATGGAGGCCTTGCGCGTGTACTTGGAAAAGGAACTAGGCACCAGGCTTCTGACTGCTGTTTATCGTTATCTTGTCCATGTTTCTCTTGAAGACAATGAAATGGTTAGAAAAGGGGCTATGGCAATGCTTGGTGAAGATAAAATGACCTATTTTCCCGTTTTACTCCAACTGGTTACTTGTGAAGCAATCTATTTCCGTGCATCATAGTAGTACTAAATGAGCAGAAATCATACATTTTTATTGAGATATATTCAATGTTATTATGGTAAGGACAGATTATCATACAAAATCTAATATACTTTTAACCTATTAAACATTCTATATTATATTAATATATTATCTATTTGTGTGTTTTGTGGAGAGATGTGACCCATTTCAGAGGCTTTAATACACTTTTAATAAAACTAGAAGCTAAAAGTTTGTTTTCATTAGTATTATTCAAATATCTGTGTAATTCAGTCTCTAAAAACCCTCGGCTGATCTTGCAGTTTGGTCAGCTGGTTGAGGGTAGTCCTGGAAAGAGCCGCTATTGATGTTGTTACACTATGTGACAGTCACACTTTGGCACTTTCACCTGTCGCATAGCACGCACAACCATGTGATTATCATAAAGCACGAGGACCGTGGACTTTGTATGAATTATGGAGAATTTCGATTAGAAAAAGGTTTAGTTTTCACCTAGAACTGAGCAGACAGGAAGTCTCGTGCAACTGAATGGGATTCAAGCTCAGAGTTGAAAGCCAAAAACGAAAAATTGAACGACAATCACTAGCTGTGCAATACACACTCACTTCGAACCAATAATTCCAGGCTCTTTCCATTACTGTACATCTACAAAGCAGGGAAAGTCACCAGCCAGCGGGCTTTTGTTAAAGATTTGATTTGTCAAAATAACTTACCTCACACCTTCCTATTCCTGCCCTCATTACATTTTGAAAGATAATCACCATGAAAACTACCTGAATGCACCCATTAGGGAGTCATGCTAACGTCATAATCAATATCTTGCTGTCCGTTTGAAGTAATCAAGTTAAAATCAGTTGCATAATTATGTGAATTTCTACCCTAATTTGAATATTTCATCTACGATCTCTTTATGATAAAAATTCTCCTTAGAATAATAAGGGAAAATGAATTTTGACGCAAAGTTTCTATTGAATTTCTCTATTTTATTTTTACAATGTTTTGTTATACAAAATATCAGGTTAAGGTAAATAAGGCGGACGTTTGGAAGTTGCACAAAGAGGTTTTAAACGCAACATACATATGCGTATCAATTCATTCTTTAATTTGTTAATGTTCCCCTGGCGTTAAGAAATTATAACTTTTACTGCATGCAGTTAAGTCTGCTAAATTCGATTCTAGAGAACCAGATTTAAAATTCTTCCAAAACAATAGCTGTTAAACATAAACCTTGGGGGAAATCAGCAGCGGAGAAAGACAAACAAGAATGTCGAGGACATGATTGCGGTCGTCTTTGTGAAGCATTTGAAGGAGCATTGTTTAAATTCAGTGTCTAATTTCATCTTAAGCTTTCATGCGTTTTAGATCACATTTAATGGCCATACTTTCGATTCCAATACTATTAAGTTACTGGAAGCATACTTTGTTTTTTACGAGCTGTATTCTATCATGATGTAAAAAGAAAAATAAATATACAACTGCGGTTTTTATGAGATGCATTTGTGAATTTGAATCATAAAAGGTTTGGTTAAAAGATACACAAGCGTGAAGCTAACTATCAAATCCTAATTGTAATGTGTTAACCATTCATGTTCCATCAAATTTATGCACTAAAAAAATCTTATATTACATGAATTACATACACTGCACTAGAAATAAATTACTTTCGGCTATCAATCTTTGCTACGATCTCATCCAAGTTTCAAGTGTTATAAGTAAAAACTTTCGCTATTCTTTAAATCTTCCTCTTGGAACAGGATGTGGTTCTTGGATTCGCTATGTGCCCTACTGATATCTTTAAATCTATCATTTTTGCCAGAGGCTGTTGCGTTGAAGTGATATTTTGATCAAGAAATGCTCAGAAATCTTAACAAGTTTACAAAAAAGCACGCCTTTTTACAAATTTAGCACCCTGGAAATTTAAATGTAATTTTTTCTTTTAAAAAGAGTTCTTACGTTTTCTTATGCAGTAAATGGCGTGAACCCGGGGGTAACGTGTGAAGGTGAAGTCTGATCGTCCGGGTGAGTGTAGTCCTGAGAAGGACTGTTGTCGGTGGTAGTGACTGACGTTTAGAGAACCTGTGCGAAAGTCATCATCAGAGTCAAGTGAATGATTGTTGTCAGTAGAATGTTCTTATTCCAGTTCGTGTGAAATGATCGGTTGGTTTTGCCGTGATGTTATTGGCTGTAAGACTCAAGTGACGTAAGTCGGTCGTGATTGGTCTGTTTCGATCTGTCGGTAAAGTTAGGTCGTTCTTTTTCGGTCGTTTGTGATGTTTATGTCGTGAATGAGTCGTTTGTATGGAGCGGGTAGTTGTTGACACCTGTTTAGCAGTCTGTTCTAAGTTAGTAAACCAACTTTCCAGAGTCAGTCTTCTTATGTTGTCGATATTTTCCCCTCTCTATATACGTAATTCAAATTTTCTTAATAACTTTGAAGTTGCCAGTCGAAGTCTACGAAGACGCCAGCAGTACAGTACCGGATTGATGGCTGAGTTCGCAAAAACCAACGTTGCTGCGAAAACCCAGCCTTTGTGAGGATTTGCCAATAATGGACCATCATGGTAAAGAAGCTGAAATATGATCCAAGGCAAATAGCAAAAAACTGTACAGGCGTAAAATACGAAAGTGTTTACAACGGTGCGAGTTACTATTAGCACGTTTGAAGTACTTTGAATACACGTATTTAAAATTCCCGTTGCTTGTTGTTGAGCACGGATCTCGAGTTGGTGTCGTTGGGCTGTACGATAAATGCAGCTATAAGCGATAGTAGAAATCATAATGTAAACAACTACCAATCCATAACATATGTAAAGTTGTTCACTTTTATACCAAATGTGAAAACCTGCGAATGATACTGAGTTAACAAGCCAAATGAATACTAAAGTAGATTTTGCACGCGATGTGGTAATCAGCGCGTTGTATTTCATGTGATATCTTAGGGCCAAAAATCTGTCCAAGCTTATCGCTGACGTGGTGGCGAATGAAATCCCGCAGAGAGTGACACCCAAAATTTTCGTCAATCGCTGTAAAAAGTATGAAGATTTGAGCTCTTTGGCGACAAAGATCGGTTGGACTATCAGACCCACGACAAGATCTGAAACAGCGAGACCACACAGGAAAATTATGGAAGGCGAACGAAGCGAAGGTGTCTTCAGAATGGCTGCTAAGACTAAGGAGTTTCCAACAATTGAAATCAGCATGAGTGGAAAATTGAGAAAACAGTTTGCTATGACGATAGTTGAAGGAACAGTTGAGGTTTCTTTGTCATCATCTACACCTTGATCATATGCTGATCCTCTGAAGGTGTTAAAGACGTTGCCTTTCATTCCAGGAGGCTTCCTCTTTGGTGAACGATATTTCAAAGTTTTCCTCCGTTTTCTTTTAATAGCTGATGTAGTTCAAAGCTGAATCTATTCATAGTGTGAAATCATAATACTTGCAATTTCAGTTTCAATTGAAATGTTAATTTTATGTGTGTTTGTAGATGACAAACCTTTTAGGAAGATAGGACAAAATCAAATATTGCATCCTAAGGACAATTGAATAATTCGGCACGCTGTTATTATTTCAGATGTTATCATATCTTAAAGCATTTACAGGTAAATGTTTTACCTGCGGCTGCATTAAACTAACGAGGTCCAATAATAAAATTAGCATACGCACTCATGAATGTAACTTTCGAAAGTGAATTTTGGAGGTTGGACTTTTTCTCTCTCCAGGCTGTCCGGAATTGAAGTGGTCACGTCATGTAACAATTTTGAAAACTCGGCGTCGTTGCCTAGTAACCCTGTGACACACGCCAGCGGGTGAGTGAAAGTCTTCTGATTAATAAATAGCATGAAGAAAGCGAAAACAAAAACAAACAAACACCACCAGTATAAGTAAAAAAAGCGACAGAAAATAGCAAACAATGCTAATCCAAAAGCTCAAAGATCTTTTCTTTTGGTAAGAGAGAACTAGCGTGGCTCGAATCGAAGTAAGATAAGACCTCCATTCACAAATGCCTCGCGTTGCCTTTTTGCCATCCTGCTTTCTTGCGAGCATTTTCATAAGATTTTTATCTTTATAAGTAAAGATTTTCTTCATTTGGATTTCTGTTAAAATGATCCTGCCCACTTTTGGAGCTTAAAAATTGACAGAGCTAAAAGGTCAAAGACAAAATCGAAACACAAACATTAATAAATCTCGAGAATTACAGTATTTACGTCAAAGGCTCTAAAGGTCAGTACCGCCATGTCATGATGAAAAGCTTGACGAGTTTATTTGTTTTCCCACAATGCTGAAATTCAATTTTACATATGTTTACATGGAAATCACTTTGGAATCTTCGCCAAATAAAACAAAAGTCGCTATCAAATTGGAGGGATCGCAATCAGCTTTTTATTATTTTGAAAAAGAAAACATAAGGTCTTTTGAGTTTGGGAGTTCTATTTGAAAATCCGTGACAATAGATTAGTTTTAATTGATGTTATAAAAACTAAAGGATTTGACTTTGGGAGTTCTGTTTGAAAATCTGCAACAAAAAATTGAATTAATAGATGTTGTTAAAAAGCAAGGCTGTTTAATTTTGGAGCTATGTGTGAAAATTCTTAACAATGAATTTGCTTTGATTGAAGTTTTAGAGATATTAGGGTTCTTTTCTTTAAAAACAAAAATACCTGTCTGTCCCCAAGAAAGTTATTCAAGTACTTAAAACTAGAAAAACAATAAGGAGAGAGGTTCAAAACAAGGATATCATTTCCCCTCGAGCATAGAATTCGCGTACAAGTAAGTAGATGCGGGATTTCTAGCTCGTCAAAACAGCGCTACTTCATCAACAACTGGGAAAAAAATATTCAGAACTTTGAGGTGTTAACTGAGAATCGAGCAAGCTGCGCTGTAATGGACTGTTGGCAATTTGAAGGAGCTAATTACAAAGAACGTCATCGCGTGAAACATACGTACGGTATACGAGTAGAGGACCTTACATCATATGTCAAATCTCCAAACTGAAGGTTGACAAACGTTTGGCCAAATTTCTACCAGTGCAAGGATAATCTAAAACTACAAAAGTTATGGATTAGCTGATTGAGCAATTGCACAAA